TGCATGCATGAGGCCCTGGGTTCAATTCCTCAGCACCACATAAGCAAAAAGAAAAAAGCCAGAAGTGGTGCTGTGGCTCAAGTGGTAGAGCACTGGCCTTGAGCTGAAGAGCTGAGGGACAGCACCCAGGCCCAGCGTTCAGGCCCCATGACCGGACCCCCCCCCCAAAAAAAAAAAAAAAAAAGAATAGGAGAAAAGATATCCCGGACAAGCTCTACTACTGAACTATATACACAAATTCAGGTTTAAAGGAGTGATACAGCCAGGCACTGGTAGCTCATGTCTGTAATTCTAGTTTATTCAGGAGGCTAAGATCTGAGGATCAGGGTCCAAAGCCAGGCTAGGCAGTAAAGTCTGTGAGACTCTCATCTCCAGTTAACCACCAAAAAAGCCAGAAGTGGAGCTGTGGCTGAAGTGGTAGAGTACTATCTTGAGTACAAAAACTCAAAGACAGTAAATTCAAAGACCCTGAATTCAAGCCCTAGGACCAGCACAAACACAAAAGATCAATCTACGAGGGACATATGAAATACATGGAGAAGAAGAGAACTTAGAATAGCTAGAAAGCTGGTACAAAGGTCAGGAAGATGGTGATATAAATATGATTTTCAGAAAAGGCAGTAGGAATGGAGAAGCAGTTGTAAGAAATATTCTAATCCCTAGGACTAGCCATGGGATAAAGAAGAACAGTTACTAGAGCTTCAATCTTAGCAATCTGCAGAAAAATAAGGCTACACTGACAGCTGAAAGTAAGTCAGAGGAACCAGCTTGGGATGAATATTTAGCTGCATAAAAATCTCAGATGCAAAGCTGGGTGCTGGTGGCTCACACCTGTAATCCTAGCTACTCAGGAGGCTGAGATCTGAGGATCATGGTTCAAAGCCAGTCTGAGCAGGAAAGTTCGTGAGACTCTTACCTCCAATAAACCATTAGAAAATCGGAAGTGGTGCTGTGGCTCAAGGGGTAAAGTGCTCGCCTTGAGCTAAAGAGTGCAGGGACAGTGCCCAAGCCCAGAGTTCAAGCCCCACAACCGACAAGACAAAATAAATAAAATCTCAGATGCAAACCAAGTACTGATGGCTCAAGTCTGTATGTAATTCTTGTTACTTAGAAGACTGAAATCTATAGGACCATGGTTCAAAGCCTGCCTGGGCAGAAAACTCTTCAAGACTCTATATCCAATTAACCATCAAAATGCCATATTGAAAGTGGGACTCAAGTGGTAGAATGCCAGTGTTAAGCAAACAAGCTGAGAGAAAGTTTAAGGCTCTGAGTTCAAGCTCCAGTAACAGGGCTGGGAAGGTGGCTCAGTGGTAGAGTGCTTGCCTTGCATGGATGAGACCCTGGGTTCGATTTCTTAGCACCATATAAACAGAAAAGGCCGGAAGTAGCACTGTGGCTCAAGTGGTAGAGCTCTAGCCTTGAGCTGAAGAGATGAAGGACAGTGCCCAGGCAAAAAAGAAAAGAAAAAAAGCAAGCTCCAGTACCAACACACACACCATAGAAATATAGACATAAGCTTGGTATGGCAAGTACATACCTATAATCCCAGCACTGGGGAGGCTGAAGCAAGAAAATCATAATTTGATGCCAGGCTGGGCTACATATCGAATTTCATCAAAAATAGGCTGAGTGCCGGTGGCTTACACCTATTATCCTAGCTATTCAGGAGGCTGACATCTGAGGATCAAGGTTTAAAGCCATCCCATGCAGGAAAGGCCATGAGACTCTTACCTCCAATTAACCACCAGAAAAACAGAAGTGGCACTGTGGCTCAAGTGGTAGCCTTGAGCTGAAGAGATCAGGGAAAGCACCCAGGCCCAGAGTTCAAGGCCCATGACTGATCCTCCCCCCCTCCCCCCTCCCCCTTCCCCCCCCCCTGCAAAAAAGAGTATTATCTTTTGCTGTATACTAGTAGCCTATAATCCTAGCCACTTAGGAAGCTGAGACAGTGTTCCAAGCCAGCCGGGGTACGAATATCCATGAGACTCTTTATCTCAAATTAACCACCAAAAAGCCAGAAGTGAAGGTGTGGTTCAAATGCTATCCCTGAGTGAAAGTGAGGGGGACAGCATCCAGACTCTGAGTTCAAACTGAAGAAAGGGAGGGAGGGAGATAGAAAAGAAAGGAAGGAGAGAAGGGGGAAAATAGATTCCTTTTGACCTAGTGATCTCATTTTGGAAAATATTAAAGGGGTAGAATATCTAATCAACAAAGCTACTACATTATAGGAATGAGGATGCTCTAGCTTATTTTTTGGAGGTCCTTGGGACTGAACTCAGGGTCGTGGTGCTGCCCCTGAGATTTTTTTTTTTGTCGGTCGTGGGCCTTGAACTCTGGGGCCTGGGCTCTTTCCCTCAACTCTTCAGCTCAAGGCTAGTGCTCACCGCTTGCGCTACAATGCCACTCCCGGTTTTCTGGTGGTTTATTAGAGATAAGAGTTTCACAGACATTCCTGCCCAGGCTGGCTTTGAACCGCGATCCTCAGATCTCAGCCTCCTGAGTAGGAAGGATTATAGGCTTGAACACCATCACCTAGCTGGAGGTTCTAGTTTACATTACATTATTTTATGTGTGTATGCCAGTCCTGAGACTTGAACTCAGGGCCTGGGAACCACCCCTGAGCTTTTGTGCTCAAGGCTACTACTTCACTATTTGAGCCACAACTCTACTTTTGACTTTTTGGGTAGTTAACTTAAGAGAAGAGTTTTACAGACTTTCCTGCTCTGGTTAACTTCAAACCACAATCCTCTTATCTCAGCCTCCTGGGTAGCTAAAATTACAGGCATGAGTCACCAGGGCCCACCTATATCACTTTTTTTTTTTTTTTTTGTCAGTCATGGGACTTGAACTCTAGGCTTGGGCACTGTCCCTCAGCTCTTCAGCTCAAGGCGAGCGCTCTACCACTTGAGCTACGGTGTCACTTCTGGTTTTCTAGTGGTTTATTGGAGATAAGAGTCTCACCGACTTTCCTGCTAGTCTGGCTTTGAACCTCGATCCTGAGATCTCAGCCTCCTGAGTAGCTAGGATCACAGGTGTGAGCGACCCGCACTCGGCCCACTTTTTTTTTTTTTTACTGGTCTTGAGGCTTGAACTCTAAGCCTGGATGTTATCCCTGAGCCAATTCGTGCTCAAGTCTCACAATCTACCACTTGAGCCACAGTACCACTTCTGCCTTTTTCTGAGTAGTTAATTGGAGGTAGAGTCTTACAGACTTTCCTGCTCAGGCTGGTTTCAAACTACATTCCTCAGATCTTAAGCCTCCTGGATTGCATGTGTGAGCCAATAGCACCCAACTAATTCACAATTTGAGTTTAACAATGCTAATGAAAAATAGCTAACTCAAAAAAGCTCACTAGAGGGCTGGGAAGTTGGCTCAGTGGTAGAGCGCTTGCCTTGCATGCCTGAGGCCCTGGGTTCGATTCCTCAGCACCACATAAGCAAAAAGAAAAAAAGCCGGAAGTGGCGCTGTGGCTCAAGTGGTAGAGCGCTAGCCTTGAGCTGAAGACCTGAGGGACAGCGCTCAGGCCCAGAGTTCAGGCCCCACGAACGGACCCAAAAAAAAAAAAAAAAAAAAAAAAAAGCTCACTAGAAGCTGGGCACCAGTGGCTCACGCCTGTAATCCTAGCTACTCAGGAGGCTGAGATCTGAGGATCATGGTTCAAAGCCAGCCTAGGCAGGAAAGTCCATGAAACTCTTACCTCCAATAAACCACTAGAAAACCAGAAGTGGCGCTGTAGCTCAAGTGGTAGAACGCTCGCCTTGAGCTGAAGAGTGCAGGGACAGCACTCAGGCCCAGAGTTCAAGTCCCATAACTGACAAAAAAAAAAAAAAAAAAAAAGATCACTGGAAAAACTGTGAGAGTGTGAGGGAAGAGGTGACAGTGTCCAAAAAGAAATATATTCTTTTTTTTTGGTCCGGTTATGGGGCCTGAACTCTGGGCCTGAGCACTGTCCCTCAGCTCTTCAGCTCAAGGCTAGTGCTCTACCACTTGAGCCACAGCGCCACTTCTGGCTTTTTTCTTTTTGCTTATGTGGTGCTGAGGAATCGAACCCAGGGCCTCAGGCATGCAAGGCAAGTGCTCTACCACTGAGCCAACTTCCCAGCCCCAGGAATATATTCTTTAGTGGACTGGGAATGTGGTTCAGTGGTACAGTGCTTGCCTAGCATGAATGAAGCCCTGGGCTCAATTCCTTAGTACCACAGCAGCAGAAAAAGCTGGAAGGGGCTCTATGGCTCAAGTGGTAGAGTGCTAGCCTTGAGCAAAAGCAGCTCAGGGAACAGCGCCTAGGCCCTGAGTTCAAGCCCCAGGACTGGTGAAAAAGAAAAAAAGAAATATACTCTTTTGCTGACTTACCTAACTGCAACCCAACTGTAAATAACCTTTATTTTTTATTTTAATTTTTGGTTGGTTGTGGTGCTTTAACTCTGGGCCTGGACGCTGTCCCTCAGCTCTTCAGCTCAAAGCAAGAGCTCTACCACTTAAGCCACAGTGCCACTTCCAGTTTTCTGGTGGTTAATTGGAGATAAGAGTCTCACAGACTTTCCTGCCCAGGCTGGCTTTAAACAGTGATACTCAGAGCTCAGCTTCCTAAGTAGCTAGGATTATAGGTGTAAGCCACCAGCGTCTGGCTATATTACCTTTATAATAACAATAAAAACTTTTTAAACGTTCACCATTATTCATCAATTTTATCTTAAAGCCCTAAATATTCCATTCCTTAGAGTCTTCCTTACTTTCTTATTCTCTACCAATATCCTGCTAAGGCACGTTGATTCCAGTGCATATATAGTATACCCTTTTCCTGTATTTATCTACTCACTGTTCTGATCCTCTTCACTATATAAGCTTCTCAAAGGCAAGAACCATGTCTTATTCTCCTTTGAATTCAATGTTTACTGAGTGGTCCATTCCCCCATTAAATCTCACTTCCATTCCAACATGCCCAGAGCACCAGTATTTCAGCAACCTCAGTACTGCTGCTGATGCTCCTGCTTACCTGCATAGAAGTGATAAAAGGGCCACCAGACGGCACTGTTTGGGATATAGGTAAGCAGTGATGCCACATAGCCTCGGTAGAAGCCTCGAAGCCCATCAGCCCGCAGGATCTGCCTGATGATGTCTTTAGTTTGGCCAAAAGCAATAACCCCTTGTCCCTTTGGGTTCCCACGCACCTGGAAGCGGCCTAGTTTTTCACCCTTGCGCTGCATCATCAGGTGCTGGGAGACTACATCAATGGGCACGGTGATGCTCTGGGCCACCAAGGAAGCTGAGCCACCAGCCACGAGTGATTTGACTGTGTTGCTCTGGCTATAGTCAGACACAAATTTTCGAGTGAGCTCATAGGTAGTAACATAACATTGGCCGGAGATAAGTGTGAAGGTATTGACCAGGAACCCCCGATATAGGCCTGTCACGCCATCTGCACGAAGGATCTTGATGAAGGCATCAAAGGTCCCATGGTAGAGGCTCTTGCCCTTCTGAACCTGCAGCCGGGTGCGAATGAGGGTGAATGGGTACACACTAACACGGATCATCATTGTCATTGCCACACCAAACACATAGAACTTCTTCTTGTCCAGATGTTCCCACTCAATGATTTGGATGTTGCGCTTGTCCTCCATTGTGCCTGAAGACCTGGGATTTGAGCAGAGTGGAGGGATGTGAGGAAGAAGGTAAGAACTTTGTATCTTTGTGTCCTGACTAGGCCTGAAGATCCCTTCTGAGTTAGCCTGGCTCTGTCCATCACAGATCAAGAACCCTTCTGCCCTATTCTGTGTCTTTGCCTAGTCCTTTACAATTCAGATCCACTCTTCCAGAAATCATTCCTCACCACAGTAACTTTGGTGACTCCATTCATCTGAGCTCCCAACCCTAGCTTACAGGATCCTGAACTCTGTCTCTGCTTGGGCCATGGTGTCACTGTCCCAGAAGGGATCACTCTCCTTATCTGGCTTATCAAGGCAGAGCTCAGGATGCTATAAGCAAATCAACTACCTGGAAGGATGTACCACCACAAGTGGGCTGAAAGGGAGGGCTGTAGTTCTGATGCTCTTAGGTTCCAGAGGGGGCACAACTTTTGGGCTTTTGTCTTCAGCAGGGCCCCTTTACTATTATTTACTACCCGAGGCATTTTATTTTACGTATGGTTTCCAATGCTACTCCGAGCTCCCAACCCACACTCATTGCACTGTACATTCTCTCCAATCTGCATTCGAGACGTGGGGAGGAGTACAAGGCACTCCTCCAATTGCCACCGCCACCCCCACCATCCTCCAGTGAAAGCAGTGGTAAAGTCAGGAACAGGACAAAGATCAGAGTCCTCTTTGGTTATTAGATAATTCACTGTAGAAAGTGAAAAGATCCACCTGAGAGTTTCCCTGAAGAGTCTGGAGAATTTGCTATAGGGTGGATCACATGTCTGACCCAAGGCTCTCAACTCTAAGCAAACAACTACAAGCTCGGTCCTTGAGAATGAAGGTGAGAAGTGATACAGAAGACACATTCTGCCCTTTAAAACGTCATAGTCTGTTCAAGGATACAAGGGATCTCTCTGGGAAACAGATTTGAAATATACAGGGGGAAAGAAAAAAGGGAAAATTAATGTTAATGTATTACACATGTTATGTTTATCCATTGCCTAGAATTGGCACACACCTTTATTCATAGCTGAGGCAGGAGGATGGCAAGTTCAAGTCAGGCTGAGCTACAACACAGGAGCTCCTAAGTTAAGAAATGTGAAATGATATCACGTTAGAAATACACTTGGTGGTAATGCTATGTGCTCCAGTGTAGCCTCCCCTTGTTCTGTGGGATATTGGAAATTTTAACCGACAGGGAAAGAGAGAAGAAGGCAGGGTTCCCAGGCTTTGAGAAAAACCCCTTAGGGCTTTTAAAGGACATGGCCCCAGCACAGGGACAACTCTACACAAAAGCAATTTCTGGGGCTGGGAAGGTGGCTCAGTGGTAGAGCGCTTGCCTTGCATGCCTGAGGCCCTGGGTTCGATTCCTCAGCACCACATAAGCAGAAAAAAGCCAGAAGTGTCACTGTGGTTCAAGTGGTAGAGCACTAGCCTTGAGCTGAAGAGCTGAGGGACAGCGCCCAGGCCCAGAGTTCAGGTCCCACGGCCAGACCACCCCCCCCCCAAAAAAAAAAAAAAGATACAAAAGCAATTTCTGTGGCAAATCTTTTAGCATATGTCTGATTATAGTCTATCCCCAACTACTTTCCTCAACCCCAAGTCCCAATTTAAGTTCATAGAGCCTTTGTTACAAGGTAACTGTTCTTGGTTTACTGAGCAAGTCAGCAGGGAATGAAAGTTGGCTTTTTGGACAGGAATCCCTAAGTTGGTCTGTATCAATTTCATTAAAGTATAGACTGCCCAGGAAGTGGTACTGTGGCTCAAGTGGTAGAGCACTCGCCTTGAGCTCAAGAGCTGAGGGACAGCACCCAGGCCCAGAGTTCAAGCCCCACACCAACAATAACAAAAAAAGCCAGAAGTAGAGGTATGGCTGAAGTGGTAGACTGCCCATAGTACAAACTGAATACTTAACAGCTGAGTTATGGATGGGGCAGGCACATGGAATTAATTATACATGCAGCCTTGGAGGACAAAGCAATTTGAATGGAGGAGGAATACATGCAAACAATGAAAAGCGGAGAAAAGTGGCTTAGAAATGAGAAAACAGTCAACTGGGTTTGCTAGAATGGAAAATCTAGACTGTGGAAAATGAGCAGGAGGTAGAGTTTACAGGCAAGAGAACTTCTGGAACATGGATATGTCATTGCTGTGGGCAAAAGTGGCTCCCAGCCTCAGCACGAGATACCCAGAAAGACCAGTAGGGCAATCTTCTCTGAACCCTTCAAAAGGAGGTGGTCACTGTCCCTCCTCCCCACAAGGTGTTTAGAATCAGAGTATCAAAGTCATATTTCCAACACTACTGAGAAGTGAGGATATATAGATTTACCTAATACCCACTGCCTCATGCAATCCTTATAACTTAACCCGAGCATAAACACCTCTGATAAATGAGGCCAGATAGGTTAAATGTTACAGCTCCAAAATCATGCAGCTGGTCAGTGGCAGAGGCCAGATCGAAGCCAAAACTTTTCCACTCAGTCATGCCTTCTGCCCTATGGGAGTTGAAGAGTCCAATACAAATTATTTTGTTAAACTGGAAACCAAGCCATTCCTACCAGTGGAAGGCTTTCATAACTTTCATAATTGTATGTCACCCAGGGGTTAAGCATAGCTGCTAGCCATGCAGATGCCCTTGGACTTCCCTCAGCCTTATTTCAAAGAAAGTAAAGGGTTGCCTATGCTACACTAATGTGCTTGTGGAGTGACTCTGAGTGGCTGGGCTGGCATGTTGTCACCACAGGACAAATTCAGTGAGGCTCAAGCAGGCAGGATTCCAGCTGGGCATGTGTGAACTGCATGCAATTCAGGGCAGAAGGGCATAGCCACATAGGATTCTGTTCTAGGTAGGTCATTGTGTGTATGTACGGGGGGGGGGGGGGGGGGGTCCATGTGCCAGTCCTGCAGCTTGAACTCAGGGCCTGGGCACTGTCCCTGAACTTTTGTGCTCAAGGACAGTGTTGTACCAACCAAGCTACAACTTCATTTCTGTCCTTTTTGATAGTTAACTGGAGACTTTCCTGCTGGGACTGGCTCTGAACCACAATCCTCATCAGCTCTCAGCTTCCTGAGTAACTATGATTTACAGACATGAGCTACCAATGCTCAGTTAGGTCATGGTTTTCATGGGTATCTTCTCAGCTTTTCAGGCTGAACCAGCATCTCCTAATGAAAAACTCATTGCTCTCTTTCTGCACCTGTCTCCATCTCTCACATGTGCCAGTCTATATTTAAAATTCCCAAAAGGTAGCAAGGATTCTGTAAAATAGATAACTCCTCTTGTTAGGATACCAGAAGAAACCATTAAGGGTCACATCTCCAAAAATAAGTCACTCGCCTGGGAATATGGCTTAGTGGTAGAGTGTTTGCCTAGCATACATGAAGCCCTAGGTTCAATTCCAAAGTACCACATAAACAGAAAGAGCTAGAGGTGGCGCTGTAGCTCAAATCTTAGAGTGCTAACCTTGAGCAAAGACAGGCTCAGGAACAGTGCCCAGGCCATGAGTTCAGCCCCAGGACTGACAAAAATAAAAACACCAAACAAACAAACAAAAACAATAAGCCATTAAGCCGAGTGCTAGTGGCTGTAATCCTAGCTACTCTGAGGATCGTGGTTCAAAGCTAGCCCAGGCAGGAAAGTCCATGAGACTATTATCTCCAATTAACCACCAGAAAACTGGAAGTAGAGCTGTGGTTCAAGTGGTGGAGCACTAGCCTTGAGCTGAAGAGCTCAGGGACAGTACCCAGGCCCAGAGTTCAAGCCCCACGACCAACCAAAAATTTTAAAAAAGCCACTAGTGAGAAGGGTAAAAGGTTGTAGAACCTACCCCTCTGTTCCTTTGAAAGGGGGAGGTTGCTTCCATAAAGTGGGATCTCAACCTGTTTTGTTGTCATATAGCTTCCAAACTTCCTCCTGAAATACTGAAACCAGTTCATCTTGTTTTACCCTCTAGAAAGTCCTCTATCTAGAAAAGTGTGTGCAAACTTCCTTCAGCATTCACTTCTCCCTCTTTCTGGGGCCTTTTTCAGGCTACAATTCACAGCTACAATTCTAGCTTTTCTCCCACTTTTTACTCTACCACTTGAGCCACAGCGCCACTTCCAGTTTTCTGGTGGTTAATTGGAGATGAGAGTCTCACAAATTTTCCTGCCTGGGCTGGCTTTGAAGAGTGATCCTCAGATCTCAGCTTCCTGAGTAGCTAGGATTACAGGCGTGAGCCACCGGCGCCCGGCTTCTCCCACTTTTTATGCTGCTTAGGCACAAATGCTTAAGTGCTTCCTGTGAAGACTGAACAGAGGCCCCAAAAGCATATTATCCTGAATTTTTCAAATGAAATGTCAGAGGTGGAGCCTACTACTGAAAGAAGGAAGGAAGGAAGGAAGGAAGGAAGGAAGGAAGGAAGGAAGGAAGGAAGGAAGGAAGGAAGGAAGGAAAATAGAATTTCAGGCTGCACTTTAGACTTGTTAATAAGAGTTGACAATTTAACAAGATCTCTAGGTGATTTATATGCATATGAAAAAAGCACTGTTTTAACTATAAGGATTATCTGTATTATAACTTTATAACTATTCTAGAACTCCAGGACCATTCTGACTAGATCAGGAGTTGCCTAACTGCATACTCACTTGTCCCTAGAACTGGGCACAATGATGAACATTCTCTCCCCGCGCCCCCCCCCCCCTCCACTTCAAACACTCCTACCAAATCAAATCACCTTATCCAACTCCTGAAGAGACATTCACGGGTCCCTACTTCTCAGATGGAAGAGGGAATAACAGTATCCTCTATTCTATCCTCCTTACCTCATCCGGATCAAGGCTCTGCATCCTAGGAGCTTAATCCATATGAACAGGAATATATATGCATGTTTGCCCAACTGTCCTACTGTGTATATAGTGCCCTAAGCTAGTCCCAGTGATGTCTCCGACCCTTCCTTTAATCTCCCTCCGATATGGTGAGATTCCCACCCAGCTTTCCCTGGTTTTCCACAGGTATCCACGTGATCTCTCATCACAGACACATCCCAATCCTCTCCACGTGACACCCTCCTTTATGTAGCTCCAATCTGGCACCCGCGCGGATTCCTCTGGGTCCTCGAAGAAGCCCCTAACTGTGCTTCTGTCGCTGTCAGCAAATCTCATGCTCCTCTGCCAGGAAAAGATGTCTTGCCAGACCTGTCCTTCATTTCCAAAACTACAGGCACCGCAACCCCGCAGACGTCCGCTGCCTCCTTGACAAGTCCGAGTGTTGAGAGGCATTACAGGCTTCAAATACCCTTGGCTAATATGACACAGCTATAGGTTCCTTACCTTCTCAGACCCAGGAGGTTCCACTGAGTCTGAGGAGAACTCCAAGCCGAAACTTCTAGGCCGCAGCTCCTGGTACACCCTCCATTCCAGGCGACAGCCGGCTTCGGGTCGCATCTTCCTCCATCTCGCCAGAGATGCCAGTGCTGCCGGAACCGGAAAATAGGACGCTGTCATTCCCGCCCCTCAAGGGGTGAGAATTGGCTTGGAGTAATTCAACCAATGGTGTTCTGAGTCGTCCAGCCTTCCCCGTTATTGAAGCGATGATAGGCGGATCGGATGGCCATCTTGGATTAGGGCAGTAACCACGCCTTCTTAAGCCTCACTCTCTGGGGAGCATGCGTGAGCTTCTGAGCTGTTTCTAATTTGTGGACACGGATTTACCCAGCACTTTTTGAAGTAACGTGAAACTCCGGCTTTTAATAGGTGACCTTGTGTTTGAATATTTGTGCTAAGAGCCAATCTTTATTTTTCGTGGTGGTCTTTGAACTCGGGGCACTGTCTTTGACCTTTTCTTTGCTCAGGGATAGCGTCCTAACAGTACTACCAAGCCCCACTTCCAGCTTTTTGGTGGTTGACCAGAATGAATCTCCTAGATTTTCCTGCCTCAGTTGGCTTTCAGAAAGGATCCTCAGATCTGAGCCTCAGTTACAGGTTTAACTCACGGGAGCTCAGCCTCAGGTCTAATTATTAGGGCTGAATACTCGCCCCATGAAAAGAAAGAAAAATTTTAATATTTGTGTTTGTATGTGTAAAAACACACAACTAGCCAGGCACTGGGCACAGGACACTCACACCTGTAATCCTAGCAACCCAGGAGGCTGAGATTTGAGGATCACAGTTCAAAGTCAAGTGGGGCTGAAAAGTCCCCATGAGACTTTTATCTTGGATTAACCACCAAAAAACCAGAAGTGGAGCTGTGACTCAAAGTGATAGAGCACTAGCCATGTGGAGGAAAGGGACAGCACCCATGTCCTGAGTTCAAGCCACATGAGGGGAAAAAAAAATTCATAAAGACAAACAGGGTTAAAGAACAAGAGTGAAGACTGAAGTTTAACAGCTTTAGAATAAGACATTCTGGAAGTGGAGAAAAAAAGATATTAAACATTCTCATCCAGCTCTGAAACAGGTCTTACCTATATAAAGATTTCAAATTCTTACTCCAGTCTCTTCTCCTAATATTCCCCTTGCATTAACCTTGCACTTAAAATTGGGATTCCTGAAACCAGGCCTTACTATGTGCCCTAGGCTGACCTCTAATTCACAAATCGGCCTCAGCCACAACTGAGCAGATTTAGAGGTTTCAGTCACCATGCCCACACCAGTATGTAAACTTATTATGGTTTTAAACTTTTATTGAAAGATACTAATTCTACCTATTAATGATGTCTAATGCAATGTGATACTGAAGACAAAAGTTTAAAGAAAGTTAAACCATCACATATTTATCATTCTGAACAAATATGAACCACATTGCATCCAAACGAATTTCGTGCACACTGCGAGAAAGGCATCTTTTCTGTCAAAGTAGTAGTTTGCTTGCTTTCTGATAATTTTTTTTTTCATGAAGCAATGTTAAAGTATCCGGAACATGAACAAAGTGAGCAGAAAGGGAGTAAATCATTGGGATGGGTTGAGTGTGTGTGTGTAGCGTGAAAAGAAGTAGGCACGAAAGCTGGAGGGTAATGTGGCGAAGTGGGGCAGACAGGAGAGGAAGTTTGTGTGCATGGCGCGTGTTGTGTATCGGTGTATGTGTTTGTAGTGAAGGAGGTGGGAGAGGAGGGTAGGGAGCAGCAAAAGAAAGGCTGAGCAAGGAGAAGCGTGAGGTCAGGTGCGAAAAGGTGTAGCCCAGGCTGGTCTCGAACTCGTGATCCTCCTGCCTCATCCTCCTCGTTGATTACCGGCGTGCGCCACCACGACCGGCGACAGCCGCCGCCGACAAACGCTTCCTTGAGCCTGCTGACGCGCACTCCGCCCGCCCAGCGCTCGCTTGCCGCCCGCCTGCGCCTCCCACTGCGCCTGCGCGCGCTCCAATCCCACCCTCACACCACTCTTCCCCCCTCCCCGCCACCAGCACACACTCACACCCTCCTCTGGCCGCGCCCACCCGACCCTCGCCGCCAGGAGGCGCCAGCCGCTCACCCGACACTCGCACGCCCGACCCAACACCCCTCCCACGCCCCAGCCTCCACCGCCGCCCCGCGCCGCCCCGCCACGCACACCCGCCACGCCGCACCACACCGCACACACGCGCTCTCCCTCACGCCCGCCGCTCACACGCAAACCCACAGCCGCCTCCCACACCACCTCCAGCCGCACCACCCGCCCGCGGCCTTTCGGGGACTGCCGGCCTGGCGGCCGACGCGACAGCGGGCCGCCCACCCCGCCGCGCTGCCCGCACAACCGGCGCCACACCGCCCCCTCACGGCACACACCGCTACCGACACCTACCTGCTGCCCGCAGCCGCCTCCTAGCTCACCCATTCTCTGCTCTGCCCAGCCCTGGCCCAGCGCCTGGGCTCTGGGGCCCCCCAAACTCATCAGGCCCGGGGACCTCCACCCTCCATCCCTGTAGCCCACCCCACCCCCAGCCCACCCCACCCCCTCCCTCCCGACTCTGGATTTGCCTTCCTCAGCCTCCTGACTTGCGCGCCGGGGAATGCTACAAAGACCCTGGCTGCCACACTCCTGCCTCTCCTTTGCCTCCTTTCTCTGCCCTGCCTCCGCCGACCGTGCACGGGGCCAAAGCACAGGTTTGCACAAAACCAACCAACGCTCATCATGGTGCTTCTCAAAGAGACACCTGCCAGCCAGCTCCTGAATGCAAGCCCTGCACGGGAAGGGCCAAATTCCACTTGATTGGCGCTCATTTCCAAGGGCGCCACAGAGAAGAACACGACTTCTCGACAGGGCTGCTTTGGAGGACTAGTTCGGCCGCCCCCTCCCCACTTCTCCTCATCCCTGGCTCCAGACCTTCGTGGCCTTTTGCTTGGTCCACTCTCCACACCTCCTGCCCTGCAGCCAGAGTCCCAGGGCTCAGGGAGCTGCATCGCGCACGCAGCCCAGGCTCTTGCTTTAGGATTGATGGTCTCCATTCCCCCTGTCAGGTTCCATTCCCCTGGGCAGGGATTGGTTGGGGGTTCTCACCCTTCTCTGTGGTGCCACTCTAGTGTGCCTGGCCAGCTGGGCTTCTCATGCCATTTCAGAGACACACTTTGCCTCCCTGGCTGGAGGGGGTGCCGCTGCCCCTCGATTTCCAAACCTTTCCCTCTGCTTCTCACCAAGGCCCCGACCCCGCTCCAGCCCTAACATGAGACACTCTGGGACTTTGTTCCCTCTGCTTAGCCTGTGAGAGCTACACACCTCCTCCGGTCCAACATCCACCCACAAAGACACCCATACATCTGCCTGTCACTTGCTCTGTCCTGCCAGTGCCATTTGTCTCTGTCTCTGTCTCTCTCATCCCCATCTCTTCCCCTTAAGTTATTCTTAATTGTCTACATACTAAGCTTTCCCTTGCTTGCAGCCAGCCAGCCACCCACCCACCCACCCACCCACCCATCCATCCATCCATCCATCCATCCATCCATCCATCCATCCATCCATCCATCCATGGATCCATGTTTCCATTCATCCCAGCCAGCCAGCCAACCAGCCAAACATCAGCCATATCTCATGTCTGAAGAGAGGTTTTGGGATTCCAGCCCCTTGTCTGTTGTGAGCCACACTGCCATGAAATCGATGGTACAACAATCTGGTTGCTCATCCTCCTTTACTTTGCAAACCCTGCTTTACCAAACCAAACCCAGGAAACCAAAGGACCTGCGGGTGAAACCAACAGGGACCCCTTGCTCTCAAAGGCCTCGATGTCTTTGCATTGCTGCTGGATGCTTGATATCCAAGGCCTGGGATATCCATCCTGGGCCAGGGCCACTGTGGCAAGCAATGGAAGGGACTCACTCACACAGGGACTGGAGCCCCAGTGCCAGCTCATCCACACGTGGAGCCTCTTTCCCTCTGTTTCTGACCAAGGCCGGGGCCCTCACATAGGACTCTCTCTGCGACTTCATTGCCTCTGGTCAATCTGGCCTAGATACACACTTCCTCTGGTCCATCATCGACTCACAAATCCATCCATCCATCTGCCTGTTCACAAGTCTGTCCTGCCAGGGACATTTTACATACAATTTGTCTCTGTCTCTGTCTCTGTCTTTCTCTCTGTCTCTGTCTCTCTCTCTCCCTCTCTCTCTCTGTTTGTTTGAATTTCCCTCTGAATTTCTATAGCTCTTTCTCTGTCTCTCTGTATCTCTCTCTCCTGTCTTCTCTCTCTCCCTCTCTTTGTCCCCTCCAGTATCCTTTGTTGGGCTAGATACTACTCTTGCACTTCCTTCTACCCATTGCTCTAAACTCTCAGCCAGGAATGCATCCAATCAGCCATCAATACAACTCCATCCTCCCAACCATCCAACAGTCCATCCATCATGCATGCATGCATGCATGCATGCATGGACCCATTCGTCTCTCCAGCTAGCTAGTTAGCCAGCCAGCCAGCCAGTCAGCCAGCCAGCCAACTACCCATCCAGACAGTAGCCATGGCTCATGTTTCAAGAGAGGTTTGGAGGTTCCCACCCCTTGGCTGTTGTGAGCCACACTGCCATGAAATCAATGGCATAAAAATCTGCGTGCTCATCCTCCTTTACATTGGAAAGCCTGGTTTAACATACCAAACCCAAAAAACCAAAAGGTCCCACGGGTGCAGCCAATAGGGAGCTGCTGCTTGCAAAGCCCTCTATGTCTTTTGCATTACTGATGGACGCTTCATATCCAAGGCCTGGGATATCCATCCTGGGTCCTGGACCACGGCGGCAAGCAAAGGAAGGCACTCGTTAGCCAGGGGACCCAGCCCGGATGCCAGCTAAGACACACATGGAGCCTCTGGACACACCTGCAGGATAAAGCCAGTGGTGTTGGTACAGCCCTGCATTGTATCACAGGATATGAGAAACAGAGAAGTGAGTGAATGCAAAGAGAAGAGCTGCCAGCCAGTGAACTAGGGAGCAGACGGGAGGCACGTCACAGTGAATTGGGAAGACACCAGGATTCCTCCCAGGCCGGGTATCCGTGTAGGTTCTGGGCATAAGAGGAGCCAGTGGCCAACAC